ACCCTCAGTCAAACATATTGTAGGTATTCGAGGTTCGCAACGTGATCGCTTACGACCTGGCGCGCTTTCGGCCTTCATCTACCCTGTAGAAAAGACAGGGTTGCATATCGCAGCGTGCTTCGCACTAGTGAGAGGCGAGGTGGCTAAGACTCTTGTCCGGCCACTGTTACATTTTTCCGTGGAGAGGAGCGTGGCTTTTACCAGCAGGAACTTGAAGTGATAGGTTATCAGCTCGATGTTCGCTTCGTGATTAGGCTTCACAATGTCAGGCATGAGACGACACTCAGGTCGGTACCCGCTTTGTTGATGCAGCTTGTAAAGCCTTACGGCGGGATAGATGAATTGTTTGTTCTCGTCTAGTGCGCGAAGTGATATTATACTTATACTGTGATATACTCAGCGGCTCTTTTGCCAGCTTCTCGTCCTCACGGTGCATTCCTCGTGGAAGTACGCATTTTATCAAACAGCTGCTCGAAGTGCAGACAGCACTCCTGGGGAGTAATGGCCTGTAGGCTTACATAACACTCGCGGAGCAATTTTTTGCCAGCTTTACTCTGGATGTGAGCGAAAGGCCCACACGCATCGGCGTGTAGGGCTTATGTACCGGCGCTCTGGCGACGTCGATCGGTATGCAAACTTATGACTTGAAGACTTTACTTTGTGCTTGGACCAAAGCAAACCTGACTACTCGGGCCACGTCCAGTATGTTGATAATGAGTTAAATTAGTCATGGTTCCACGGTGGGGCGTCGAAACACTTTCCTCCGATGGAAAATGGCGCAGATGACGAGACTAATGCAACACGGAAGCTGAGCGCAGTGATTATATCCTCCCGTAGACAATGGTCGGGTTATGTCTAGCCATTTGAGGGCGGACGTGGTCTGCCAGGACTCGGATAGTCATGGGAGTGTTCTTATCGAAGAACGCCTCGGCATCATTGCCGAAATTCGGTAAAGCGCGTCAATCACGAAGACCGCGCTTTCGGCAAAAGCTCACTGACATTTTCTATCTGGTGAACGAAAGCAGAGTTTCAGTGCTGGTACGCTCAGATGAATAGGTACAGTCAGAGCATCGAGTGGAGTGGAATTTGTGGAGCGGTCACTTTTGCGCAGTGTCGCTGTGCTTGTCCAACAGGACGATGACATTCTGAGCACGGTAATGGGTATTGATAATAGTAATGAGGCATGACTCTCGTCTTATTCACGATCAGAGCGGGGGACTCATTGATGTTCAGATTGGTCAGAACAGAGAGCTGAATCAGGGCGATAGCTGAGAAGTGCGTCTTGTCGTCTTTATATGTGTATGAAGAAATGGCAGGTACTACTTCGAAAGTAGCCAGAAAAAAAACTTTAATCTCATTAAATCCTTAAGTCACGCATGCGCATGCCTTGAAAAGTAGAGCTATTTGTGTTCTGCAAGTATAAACAGCAAATTATACAACTATCTTCGGATACAACAGCTGAAGTCTGAATATGATGATTTCAAATTGAAATAAATTTGATTTTCTCGTCCATTGGTAATTTTGGGTGCAATTAAAGTGATTTTGACGTGATTTTCATTGAATTTTAAGAGGCAAATAGCGATTTTTAATCTACGTACATTTCTAATCATTATCGTTTGAACTAGACTCTGGCAAACCTTATCACTAACCAGCAACGTGACTGGCTTGCTGTCCATGCAGGTGGTGTCCACTGTGCTTAGTTGGCACTTTTCTCTCGCAAACTGAGTCGTCGAGCGATAGATACCGCGGCTTCGGCCAAAAATGATAAGGGCACAAATGCAGCATCTGCAGCATCGCCTATCTTTTTTTTAGTCTGAGAAGCTGTGTGCGTCACTTTCGATTTGGCGTTTCCACTAGCCTTTTTCACCTTCTTCCAACCGCTAGCTGAACTTTTAACTACTTTGTCTTTCGCATTTTGTAGCTTGCTCTTCTTCTTTTCTTTAAATCCGAAAAACTTCTTGATCGAAATCCACCACTTCTTGAAAGCTCCTCCAAATTCTGACCATTTGGCAGCAATCTTCCCTTTTAGTGAGCCACTAACTTTCACATTCTCCGTTTGCATAAGAAACCTCTTGCCATCGAGCGCATGAGTCACAACCTCGACTTCATTCTCAGCAGCTTTGAGAGATCGTGCTTTGTTACTGTCCGTAGCTGCCAACGAAGCAATACCATTCGAAACGACAAAGGCGGCAATAACGAGCAAAAGAAAGAGGT